GACCTCTCCTGACTTGCCCCCTGCTCCCCTCAGCAGTGTATTTCAGTGGATCTGCTCCCCACTATCTCTGGGTAGTCCTCTTATCCCCTCCACCTCTGGCCTGCACTCCAGCTCTTGTATGCATAAATAAATAAATCTTTTAAAAAAATTATAAATGGGTTACCTAAGAACTTTCTGTGATAATGGAAATGTTCCATATTATGCTGACTTTTATAATAGCCGCTAGCAACTCAACAACTGTTACGCACTTGAAATGTGATTAGGCCAACCAAGGAAAGGGCTGTTAAACTTTATCTAATTTTAATTTATTGAAATTAATTTTGATTGCTTGAAACTTAACTCCATATGTAACTCAAGGCTTCCACTTTAGCTTAGCTAGTGTAGCTCTCAGCATATTCTAGTGGCTACAATGCAATTGATTCAACTATGTAAGCTACAATGATATAAACTGGTTGGATAAATTGTTTAATTTTATTTTAGGAAAAGAAGTATCTCTTTTATACTTCCAAAGATATTTAGTTTGGCAGGAAATTAAAATGGACTTTGGCATTTTCCCCCATTTTTGGCTCTTTAAAAATGTATGTGTGGTTCGGCAGCACTTTACAGTATTCACAACTCAGATTAGGTGTAAAGAGTAGACGGTGAGATGGGCCTCCCTGGTGGCGCAGCGGTTGAGCGCGCTGGGCTGTGAAGCTGCTGGCAGCCTCTGCAGAACTGGTTCGATCCCTGGCCCCCGGTGAGGGTCCCACATGGTGCACAGACCTCTCCTGCCGCCCGCTGCTCCCCTCAGCAGTGTCCTTCGGTCCTTCTGCCTGCTCTGCTCCCCGCTCTGGCTCTGGTGAATCCTCTTACCCTCCCGCGCTTCTGACTGTGCCCAATGCTTGTATAAATAAATAAAATCTTTAAAAAAAAAAAAAAAACGAGTATACGGTGAGGGCTTTTTAAGCTGCTTCCATGGGGTGAATCAGTTTTACAGGCAACCGGCATTGTCATTTCATATCTTTCCATAGAGATTTACATCTTTGCACGCAAATGTGATGTATTTGCTTTTCACAAGGTAAATGGTAGCCAGTAATATCACCATTCTGGCATGTTTTTTCATTTAGTATGTTTTTCAGAGCATTGCATAAACACAAAGATTTCACTGTTTTCTGATAGTGTATATTGCATGTTTTGGTTTTTAGCATGATTATTTCTTGTTTTTTTTTTTCCTTTTTTTTAAATATATTTATTTATACAAGAGCTGGGGTACAGGCCGGAGGTGCAGGAGGGTGAGAGGATTCACCAGAGACAGAGCAGGGAGCAGAACAGGCAGACGGACGGAAGACGCTGCTGAGGGAGCAGCGGGTGAGACAGGAGAGGTCTGCCCGCCGTATGGGAATCTCCCTGGCTGGCCGGGAATGGAACTGGCATTGCAGAGGCTGCGGACAGCTTCACAGCGCTGCGCTCAACCCGCTGTGCCACTGGGGAGGCCCCTGTTTGATTTACATTTAGGCTGTTTCCAACCACTGGAGTTTAGTCTGTTTCCCATCCCTGAAGTGTGTATCTGTAAGGTAGATGATGTTGGCAACCAATGGAAATTTAAGACCTACTGACCAAATACAACACTTCTGTGTCTATGGCTGGGTGTTTAGACGACAGTTTTTCTTTTAGAGTTCTTCGCATTTGTGAAATGTTTAAAAACCACACGTATCAGGTACACAGAAAAAAATGTAGACTTAGGTGCGTGAACCTTACGGTGGTGACTGAGTCCTTGGTACCTGTCCCCGGAGCAGCATCGGCGCCCCTTCTCCGCGCTTCCCATCACAGGCCCCGCGTCCACCCGCCGTCCGCACTTGGGGCCCTCGTTCCCTCCCAGGTTGTTTCCATCTGACTGCTTGTAGTGTCATCTGCAAAGTGTGTTTCTCCGACGTGGATTTTAGCTCTAACGTCAAAACTGAGATGGTAGGTAGGGAAAGGACGGCCTTGCTATTGTCACGTGACACTTGCTAAGAGAAGAAAAGCTGGACGGAGCCTGGGTTCCAGTGCTGGCCGGTGGCCGTCCAGGGAGGCCCCGCTAGAGCCCTGCGCGGGCGCGGTCTCGGGGTCTCAGGCGTCCCGGCCCGTGCTCGTCGGTCTCTGCAGAGCCCGGTAGGGGCTGTGGAAGGTCCTGCTCTGTCCTTGCACAGAGTGGTCAGAGCCGAGTCCTGTGGTTTGAAATTCTTAGTTCTTCAGGGCGTAGGGCCCAAGGGTGAGGAAAGCAGCTACAATTAGTACATGGTTGCACTGAGTTACCAAGTTGCCTGTAGGTCGGTCTGGGCCAGATGCACCTTGGCAGTCAGTGCTTTCTCTTTTTTAAAGATTTGTTTTTTTATTTTTTAAGATTTATTTATTTATACAAGCACTGGGTACAGTCAGAAGCGCGGGAGGGTGAGAGAATTCGCCAGAGCGGGGAGCAGAGCAGGCAGACTGACGAAGTACACTGCTGAGGGAGCAGCGGGCGGCAGGAGAGGTCTGCGCGCCATGTGGGATCCTCCTCCAGTGGCCGGGGAGCAGCCGGCGATCGAACCGGCGCTGCAGAGGCTGCGGGCAGCCTAGCAACCCAGCGCTCAACCGCTGCGCCACTGGGGAGGCCCATTACTAGATTTTTGAAGTCCTCCTGTGGCCTCTCCAGTCAGGAGTCGCTCTGGAGATTGGTTCTCTTCACTGTGCCCGGTTTGCCTCCCGTGGCCCTTTCAGAGACATGGCTCTCGCGTGGGTGTTTCCACCCGCTCTGCGGGTACACAGTGGGCTTCACACATACCCCTGTTAGACTTTCTGGATAACAGTTCTCCTGTCCATCACTTCTCATTTTCTTCGCTCTTCTTTTTTTTTTTTTTTTTAATAGAGGCATGTTTTTATTTATTTATTTGTTTGTTTTGTTTGTTTATACATGCACTGGGTACAGTCAGAAGCGCGGGAGGGTGAGAGAATTCACTAGAGCCAGAGCGGGGAGCAGAGCAGGCAGAAGGACCGAAGGACACTGCTGAGGGGAGCAGCGGGCGGCAGGAGAGGTCTGCGCGCCATGTGGGACCCTCCTCCGGTGGCCGGGGAGCAGCCGGGGATCGAACCGGCGCTGCAGAGGCAGCGGGCAGCTTCACAACCCAGCGTTCAACCGCTGCGCCACTGGGGAGGCCCTCTTCGCTCTTCTTTTTGAAACAGTTATTCAGATATTTGATCTCCTGTGTTGACTCTTAAAAAAATTTTAAATTTTCCTCTCATTTTCTATGTTCTTTTCTTTGCTTTATTTTCTGGGATGTTTAATTTCTAGATGTTTTCGCTATTTCTCGTTCACTTATAGCTTCCTATAATTATTGCATGCATGCAAAATCTTAACTTTTTTTCTTGAGGACATATATAGGTAGGTATTTTTAAAGGCATTTTCTTTTCCCTGCCTGCTTGTTTCTTCCAAGTCACTTAATTTTATTTTTTTGTTAAGGTTTATTTATCTATGCATGCAAGAACTGGGATGCAGACCAGGGGTGTGGGGAGGTGAGAGGACTCACCACAGTTTAGAGCAGAACAGGCAGATCCACTGAGAGGCACTGCTGAAGGGAGCAGCAGGCGAGACAGGAGAGGTCTGCTGTGCTTTGTGGGTCGCCTCCCTGGCCAGGGATCGAACTCAGGCCACAGTGGCTGGTGACAGCTTGATAGCGCTGAGAATTTAACCCCTGCACCACCAGCCAGATTATTTCATATCTTTCTTTAATGTATGTAGTGCTTGTGGCTTACTGAGATGTTGGATGACTGGTACAGATCATTGCAGCTGTCCTTACGGCATCTCTATTAAGGCTACAATAATCTTCAACTAAGAAGTAGTGAAGTGAGGAAGGGTCGTATAAGGATGTTCTGGAGACAGGTCACCCACACAGTGCTGTCCATCTGGGGCGGGGGGTGGGCATTGACCCTGTCCTGATTCAGCACTGAATGGCAGAGCTCGGATCCCAGCCTCGGGAGCAGGCTTCAGACGGGCTCCAGACTGGTGTGTCTCATGTGCTGATAGAAAACTGGTCTGTTTCAGTTTAAATAACTTCCAACCTCATGGCTTTGTAAAATGATAAAAATAAGACAAAGATGAAAGTATACGTAAGTTTGAATTTTATATTACTAGTTTCAACAGATGTAAGAATACTCTCAGGTTTCTATAAAGTTATCTAAGTCTTTACTTTGCATTTCTGTGCGTACCCTGATTGTAGCCCATAACCATCAGGCGTCATAGACCACACTTTGTTACTGCCGCAAGCCTTTTTTATTGCTTGGGGAACTGTTGATTTTTGCTTATTTTCAAAGTAAGGGTTGGATGATGTCCTAACTTGGAAAACAAAGTTCTTAGGAGTAGTTTTTGTCGAAGTGTTGCACAGAAGTTGGGTGTCTTGGGGAATGCTCATTTTTATTTGTAGAAGAGAGAGCTGTGTGTTTGGGTGAGGGTTGATGAGAGATCCTGAGTGTTCATAACTATGGAAAAGCACCCCTGGGTGTGGGAATGCAAGCAGCGAAGACTCGGAGCTAGCGAGATGCTCACGCTATATTTGGGCTTTATGATCCTAGGGTTGTCTCATGAGGTCAGTCCGTGCCTGATCCACATGGTGGTCTTTTTAGAGTGTAAAAAGCTACCTCAGATTCTTGGCAGCCAGTTGTTAGATTTGTCATACTCTTGCTTGGCTTTTCTCTGTCTCCATTCTTACATTGCTACACCTGCTGAGGGGAGCGGCGGGCGGGAGAAGAGGTCTTCTCACCATGTGGGACCCTTGCCGGTGGCCAGGGATCGAACTGGCGCTACAGAGGCTGTGGACAGCTTAGCAGACCAGCGCTCAACCGCTGCGCCACCGGGGGAGGCCCACTGATGCTTTTTTTTTTAATGCTTGGTCTGTGGTTTATGATACACTTCTGCAATAATTCTCTTTAAAAACATTGAGTGTTCAGTTTTATAGTATTGTTGCCATAGATATGTAAACTTTAAATATTTTCTTATTTTCCAATAGGAAACCACCCCTACTCCTAATCCCCCACCTACAGAAGAAGAAAAAACAGAATCTAATCAGGAGGTTGCTAATCCAGAACACTATATAAAACATCCTTTACAGAACAGGTAAGCTTTCGGACATGTAGGTAAATGGTGACTGTTACAGGCTTCGGGAAAGGGCAGGTGCGACCAGTGCTGGGTTATATTAGGGGGAGGATTCCATCTTCATTTAGATGACCCATGTCTAGCACGCACCTCTATGCTTGAATCTTGAGCTTAGAAGGGAGAACTGGGCGAGAGATGGGTTTGACATGCATCAGTCATTGGTAATCGGGGCTAGGTGAAGCTGATAGAGTGAATTCTCTTAAGGCATAAACTTGCCTGACAGCAGAGACTTAGGACACCAGGATATAGGGGATTTCTTCTAGCGAGAAGGTCTGAAAGGGTATAGACACTTAACACCAAATAAAGTAGGACAGTGATGGAAACCAAAAGGTTTGTTTCAAAGGCAAGATGGTCAGCAGTATTTGTGCCTCTAAAAGGTTGACTATCATTGGGTTGAACAGTAAAGTCTCAGAATCACCGTTGGATTGAATGATATCAAAAATTCATCTAATATAGGAGAAGGTCTAGCAGAAAGTCTAGTAGTTGATGGAAGATGGAGGGAGTAGTTCCACGCGTGAATAGAAAGTGCAGGTGTGTAAGGAAGAACGGGCACCTTGCAGTCGGGCTGTGGAGGAGAAGTTTGTACGTGGAGCCCCAGTGGGGTCTGCATGTGGGGTGGTTTGGGAGAGGAAGAGGAGCGTTGGAGGGTGGTTCTGTCGTCACGGTGCGGTGCAAGTTGACTGGTAGGGCGCTCCCCCGTTTTTCCCCAACTCCAGTCTGCCCTTTCGCAGGATGTCTGTTTTCACTTGATTTTTCTGGTTAATGTAGTAAAATCACACATGCGATGTCACATGGCTGTGTAATGATCATTCATTGAGCCGATGATGGGAAGAACATGGTCCCTTGGAAACATTCTACACATTTGGGGAGAATAAGTTGGAATTAACTTCTGAGGATAACTCCATGTTTCAGTTCCACTCACTGTATTCAGAGATCCTGTGAGATTATCTATAATTTTGTTTCACTTGTCTAAAGTCTTTTTTCCCTTTATGACCACATGACAGACACAGTCGGCCTACCGAAATAGTGCGTGCGTGTTTGGTGTAGAAGACCGTGGGTTAGTATATCCTTGTGAGGACCAAATGAGTTCTGTAAACAGGGAAGTGGCAACTAGTGATGGAGGCAGCCAGTGCCAAGGTTCACGTGATCCCGGAAGGACGGAATTCTTGCTCAGGAGAGCACTGTCCCGAAGATGGTTGAACAGTTGGTTAGTGGCAGTTTCACACAGTCCAACCTAACAGAACCAAAACCCTCTGGTCTTTTTTAAAAGCTGTCTCCGTAATGCCCTCTAGTGTGGCGGACTCGCCTCTCGGGGTTGCTGGTGTTGGGGAGAAGGACGCAGGGCGCCCGCAGCCTGCTAACTCGCCAGTCGGCACACTGAGGAAACCCTGAAGTGGAGTCTGAGTCGTTCAGGTTCTCTGAAAACCTGTAGTTACTATAAGAACGAGTAAATCATCAGGAGACAAGTGTATGAAGAATCTTTTACTTTACTTCAGATCTTTACTCTCTAGCGTGTTCTGTGTTAAATTTGCCTTGCAGTCTTTGCCTGTGCATAGATGTACACTTTTAAATAACGGGTGGCCATACTGTTGGCTTTTTGTTTCTGCAGATTTTGTCTCATTTCAAATTATTGCCTTGTATTGAATGAATATATAGTCCGTATTTTATCAGGCTTACATTAATGCATATATAGATTTTCCCATTTGCAGACAGTGTACATCCTTAAGTATATGCTAATTCTTGTGACTATATTTACACTGCTCAATTATCCTCCGTTATTATCATAGATGCCTTCACAGCTTTGAGTTCTGGTTTCTACATCCCTGTCAAGCAGTATCACATCAGTCTTTTTAATTATTGCTGCTTGGCGTAGTCCCAGTGTGATTTATGAAAACAATGTCTTAATGTTTTAAATGTGCATTCTTTTATGGAAATCTCTAAGCAGTTTCACATTGATCATTTTTGTTTTATCTGTTAACAGCCTATTCACTTTTTTCCCTTTGGCTTATTCAAGTTTATTTCCAAGCCTCGTATATGAGGGATGCAAACCCCCCCGAGAGGAGGATGGGGTTGAAAAAAGCGTTTGTCCAAAGCGTTTGTCTTTAACCTTGTCTGTGGGATTGTATAGTTTGTAGAGATTTTATTTACATGTGGTCCTCCATGACTTCTGGGTTTCATGCCAGTCTGAAGGAAACATCACCTGCACGGGTATCCTATTTAGTAGCTGCAGGCAGTCTCTCGCGACGGTGTGTTATATTTTATTTTACATCGGCAGTTCTCAAACTTTCTGGTCTTATGGCCCGTTTAGTCTCCACAGAGCTTTGATTGTATAGATTTTTTTTTTAAGATTTATTTTTATTTATGCCTATAAGAACTGGGGTGTAGGCCAGAGAGGGAGGGTGAGAGGATTCCCCAAAGACAGGGTGGGGTGCAGAACAGGTGGATCCACTCAAATCCACTGCTGAGGGGAGCAGTGGGGAGACATGGGGAGGCCTGCTGTGCCCTGTGGGTCAGCTCCCTGGCCAGGATCAAACTCATACTGCTGTGGCTGGCAATAGCTTCCTAGCGCTGACACTTAATCCCTGTGACACCAGGGAGGCCCTGATTGTGCAGATTTTTGGTTGTCATGGATTATAAGAAATTAAACCTGATATGTAAAATTACATAATCATTTAAAAATCTATTACATGTGAAGTTATTTTATGAAAAATATCCAATAAACGTAGATAGTGGAAAGAGGAGCATTTTTGTAAATCTGAGTGCCGAACTTAATGGGAGTGAGCTGGGTTTTCATATTTACTTCACAATCAGTTTGTGGAGATGGGTTGTATCAGGCATAGTATAAGAGAAAATACAGCCTCACATAGGTGTGTGGTTGGAAAGGGATGGAGAATTTTAATCGCCTTTTAGAATAACTATGGATATTCCCCTCTGATGAGAATAGGTTGCTTATAGATTAGATTAGTTGATTAGTTGCCACGTGAAATCTGAAACCACCCAAGAACTTCTCCTTCTCTGGTGTGTTAAAATCTCTTGGGTGCTCTTGCATTTGGAGTGGATCTTTTACCCAGCCATGACTTTGCAGCCCCACTGGTCATTTCAAATAAACTGTTACTTTTCTTTAAAAAAAAAAAAAATTAGGGCCTCCCTGGTGGCACAGCAGTTGAGCACTGGGCTGTGGAGCTGCCTGCAGCCTCTGCAGCACCGGTTCAATCCCCGGCCCCCGGCAAGGGTCCCAGATGGTGCGCAGACCTCTTCTGCGCCCGCTGCTCCCCTCAGCAGTGTATTTCATCAGTCTGCCTGTTCTGCTCCCTGCTCTGGCTCTGGTGAATTCTCTCACCCTCCCGCGCTTCTGACTGTATCCAGTGCTTGTATAAATAAATAAATCTTATAAAAAAATTTATGATAATTTTATTTCTAGAAGGGCAGGTGTATTATTTTTTTAAAAAGCAAGGAAAGCAAAGGAGGCCTGCACAGACACAGTGGCAGAAAGAGCCGCCTGTGGAAGGGCCGGATTTGTGAGAAGCGACACCTGCATGGAGACAGGCAGGAGGGCAGTTGCCAAATTTTTTATTTCTAAAGGACAGTTTTATTAGGAAAAGAAAAAGAGAAAAGAGAGGCATCTGCATAGTCACAGGTGGCAGAAGCGCGGCCTTCAAATACTGTTTGAATGAGTTATGCAGGTCTCCCAGATAGGACACTTCTTGTTATCCACTGTCGAAGCAGTGTCACTGCTCAGCTCATCAGAAGGGTCTCTGGGATCAAGTTGTCAGCTCACGGTGGCATTTGCAGGCTTTTACAAATTTTTTATGAATCCTGAAAAATTATAAAAGTTCATTCTGTTCATTTTTCAAAAAATAATCATGGGTTATCACCCACATTTTCAGGTAAAAGAGATGTTTCATGTAAAAAGTAAACAGTCCACCTCATAGTTCCCTCAGCATTGTACTGGGCCTGTAGGAGACGTGTTTGTTGTGGGGTGTGTGCACACCACGTGCACACAGATGGGGCTTCATGAAGCTGGTATGGTAAAGGCCCGGCCACTGCTCGTCCAGCCAGTGCGGCCCTCGGGGCCTGCGGAGGCTCCAGCCAGTGTCCCCGGCGACGTGTGTCTTTCCTGCCTGTCAGCACGGAGGACACCTCAGCCTTTCCAGGAGAGAGAGCTCCTGACAGCTTCCCTGGCCTGCGGAGCACACTTTGGGAGCCTCTGAGTTAGGGGACCCCTTGTTTGTAGGCACGTTATGTGTTTCTAGGTTTCCAAATTCTGGACATTCTGTGTAAACAATTTTTGCCTCCTTCAGTTTAATGGCTGAATTGATTTCTAACAGTCCAGGTTATGGGCCTTTACTGTGTATGTGCGCACATGCTGTCTGTGTCTATGTAATAGTTTTCCTTCTACTTTTGCTTTTTTTCCCTTGATAGTGGTTGGAAGTGCAAATTATTGAGGTGTTGAAATGCATCTCACGTTTATGTCTAAATGACATTACCAAATTAAAAAAGAAAGACATTAGTAAGCATTATTCATGTATGGCCATTTGGAAACTATTTTCAGACGTTTTTTATCAATAGAAACTCAGATTTCCCTTTATGTAAACTATGGTTTAGTGTTTCAGAGAATTCTAAAGAAAAGACTTGGGCTAATATTTAATAAATTGTAATTTTAATGTTAGCATCTTCAAGGTCTTAGAATAAAGCCCCTTTTAACAGAAACATATGCAGACGTGCAGCATGTGTTATTTCAGTGCATGTATGCGGTGCAGTCCTTTATTTGCTATTTTTTCATTGTGTGTCTGAGCAAACTGAATCCTATTCAGTAGTCCTCTCCACCAGCCCTCATCCCCTCTTTCCCTTCTTGACTAATTTATTTTTGTTCCTCTAAAAATTCAGTGTTCCTGTTCCCCACATTTTTTTCTGGTTAAGTGCTGCTGCTGCTGCTCAGTGACCACTGGACCATCTACGCAGCGTCCAGCCAGCTGTGTCTGAGGGTGTGCCCCGTGGTCTCTGTTCACACAAGCCTTTTATGTAGTAGGCACAAAAGGCATACTTCTTACATGAAAGAACTAGAGATAAGTACTCACGTGCCACTGTAAAGACAACTGCCGTTTGCGTTTTCCTTTTCACTGTAATCTACAAAGAGCGCTCAAGCTCATCATCGGGATCAGTTGCGAAGTCTCATTTCGGTGGTGTCGGCACCAAGCGTGTGTGCGGCGCTCCAGACCCTCCTCACAGAGCGAAACGAGTTCAACACTGGTTTCCCCCAGCCCCTTCTCCCCAGCTCTGGCCACCCCCGCGCTCCTGTCCTCTCTAGGGGTTGAACTACCCTAGGTAGTACCTCTTGTAAGTGGAATCCCACCGTTTTTCTCTTTTTTAACTGGGCTGTTCACGTAACTTGCTTTTCAAGGTGTGTCCCCATTGTGGCAGTGCCAGCGTTTCCTTCCCTTTCAGGCTTCCATTATGCGTTTGGGCCACAGCTGTCTGCTCAAACCTCTGGCGTGGGCACTTAGGTTGCTTTCCCCCTGTGACTACTGTGAGGGATGCGGCTGTCATCATGGATGTAAGTGTTTTGACAATGACTTTTTATTTTTAGATGGGCACTGTGGTTTTTTAAGAATGATAAAAGCAAAACTTGGCAAGCAAACCTTCGGCTGATCTCTAAGTTTGATACTGTTGAAGACTTCTGGGCGTAAGTAACCACTTCAGGGTGTTTGTTTTATGTGTCGTTTCTCACTGTCAGTCGCTCATGCAGTGGGGGGAGAGGTGGACATTTCCTCTGCAGCAGACCTGTGACCACACAGCTCTTTGAATTGGTGGTTATTTCTCTTCAGATTCAGAAAGCTTTACTCTTGCTATCCTTTAGCCGGAATGTTTCCTGCTTGAGGAGCCTTTATTGCCCTTGGACTTTCTGACAACTTGTGCAGCTGGTCCCCTTTACTCTGCTGCCTGGTATGGGGCTGCTCCAGGCCTCTGTCAGGCCCCCATTTGTGCAGATCCCTCAGAGCACAGCCTTTGGGGCTCTGTTGCCGGGGTCTGAGGTCTCCGCGGCTGTGTAAGATTCAGGGTCCGCCAAAGAGTGACAGTGTCTGTTACAGCAGTTCATTGGTTACATTATACTTTGTGGTTAACTCCAGAATAGTGGAAATATTTTTGAGATTTAGCAAAATGTTTGGATTTGGGGATCATAGGCCTTTTGTATGACTTCATGACAAAATTTTAAATTGTCAAATCTTTTTTCAAGAAGTTTGGGAATCGTCTCGAAAACCAAAGTTAGTCTAAAATGACAGGGAAGAACTATTTAAGAATATGAAAAACAAAACTTGTTAAAAACATTTTTAACGAGCTGCAAATTGCCTAGCAATTATCTAAATATTTTAATTTGTACGTCCAGTATATTTCTGGATCATATATATACATGTAGCGAATCGGTAGCCCTGTCCTTAGGTTATACTCTTAGCCTCTGAGTGGGTTCAGACAAGTTTACACATGGACGCTTTCTGTAGGGTAGCAGCAGTATTCCTTTGTGTATTTACAGTGCTTTCCCATAGGAGGCATTTAGTGTGCTTTGAATCATGTGAAAAAGCAAAACATAGATTAAACTGTAAATTGTGAGTCAGCAGCTTTATTAAAAGCATTAACTTTTTTTTTTAAAGTAGTGGAACTACTTATAAGACACCAGTAGTTTGGGTGTCTGACTACACTTAGGTTTCTGTTTTCCTTTTTGTCAAAATTCTGTGGTTTTCTTCTCCAGTTGTTTTTACTGAAGAGTCTTCTAAAATATAAAAAGTTTCTGGTCTCCTGTGGAGGAGGATGAGCAAGCAAATGGAACCATTTCGCCCACTGAATCAGATTTGCATTTGTCTAGTCTGCCTTTTACCAGTTTCCGTCACTGTGTTTCTGACTGGGCTTCTGGTCAGGCGTGGCTCCCACTTGAGTTATGTGTGAGCATTGCCGTTGCTTGGGGGAGTTTGACTTCAGAATGCACAGGGAAGAAATTCAGCTTTCTACAAGTACCTAAGTCACTGCTTAATTTCTCACTTATTTTCTGTCAAATTTAATGGTCATTGAGTCCTTTCAGTTTTATCCAATCTCTCTGTAGTGTTAGGATTTCACTGAAATGTGCTGTAACAGATTTTCACTGTAAGCTTAACTGTTCAGCGACCTCAGGGTACCATGAAGAAGAAAGGAAAGGATAGCGAGAAACGGTGGTGTTTTCTACCTTGAATGCCACCGAAGAAGGTCATTTTCACACTGACCATGAATTTGGAGTGGCACTGGTGCGGATTCTGTGGTCACTCCTCCTGGTAGCTGAGTCTTTTTTGTTGCCTAGTGGGGCTGTCAGGGATGGTGCCACAGCCTTGCTGGGTTTGCGCTGTCTCACTGCAGTGTCGCGTGTTGTCCAGTGTGACAGCCAAACGATGCCAGACTCTTTCTCGAAACTCTGCTTGAAATATTCCCAGATTGGGTTAAACTAGCATCAAAAGAACTTGACTCAGGGTAATACCAGCATGTGTGGTCTGTGGGCATGTAGCTAAGGTAATGACCTCTCCTCCTAATGGTGGAGGCAGGCGAGGCCTTCTCACCCTCCTGCCAGCTTTATACCCATTTTCTTTAAGAGACTTCAGGAGATAAATAATCTTCGGTCAAGAGCCTAAGTCATCCCAGATGTTACTCTCTTACATTGATAATTTGGAAATAGTTTAGAATTATAGAGTCCACGATTCTACCCCATATTTAAGGGATTAAAATCTCAGAGTAGGGCTTGGAACTGCTGCATTATTTTTTTCCCAACTCTCCAAAATATTATGACTGACCAGTAACAACAATCTGTGTTGTTCGAGAAATACTGATCTGTTCTAATCTTGGATACCTTCAAGGCTAATAACCTTGAGTTTGGTCAAGGAATGTGTCTTAATGGTCAGAAAGTTTGTCTTGTTTTCTCTTGATTTTTTTTTTTCTATGTTTAAAACTGCTCATTAGCCTCAAATTCTTGCATCTACTTATGCTCATACCTCTATTTTGTTGCTTATATATACACACACGTATGCATTTAGTTAGCTGAGACATCAAAATATATGTTTTTATTAGATAAAATAATTGAAAGTGTTTTCTTGAAAATCATGACATGTTGATTTTTGAGCTGACCACTCTTGAGATCTCTTTGGTCCATTTCAGAAGTTGACTCCATAGAAAAACACATAAACATGAACTTTTTATCTGCATTTATTTTTGTACATAGTCTCTGAATATATGTAAGCACCTGAGCTCTGCATTACACGTTCTGTGTTTATAATCACCTTTTTTTTTTTTTTAAACCTAGTCTGTACAACCATATCCAGTTGTCTAGTAATTTAATGCCTGGCTGTGACTACTCACTTTTTAAGGTATGCTTAATTGCTGATTTCATAAATTATGGGACTGAACCACTTGGGTATTTGTTAAGAAATCTTGTCACAAACTTGGGAGACTCGTGGAGAATAATTAAATTAGCCCTGCCGGCTTAGTGTAAACCATAGCAGTTAATGAGAGTCTTGTTTTATGAAAACATACTGTGATTGATTATCCAATCCAACCCCTTCTTTATCTATTGGAATCCCTTTCTCTATAGACTCCAGAGTTTGTCAGGAATTCTTAACCTGGAGCAGAGGGATCCTTGAGATAATTATAAACGATTGTCAGGAGGTAGTGTGTAGGAGCATTCGTGAACTTTATCAAATTTCATGATTTTTGCATATATTTTCTAGGTATAGAAATGTATGTAGCATCTCAAAAGTGTCTGTTACTCAGAAAGTTTAAGAACCTCTGAATTAAATGAAATCCAAGGTTTGATCGCTAATCTGTGCCTAAGTCAGGATTCGTAAATTCTCTGATTCTGCAGTTCTTCGCTTTGGCTTTGTCCTGTATGCCTTTCCCCCACTACAGCAATAACAGTTTTATGGAGAATAATGTAAAACTTTGGCAGGTTTGTTGTTTAAGTTAACGTAATAATGTCTAATGTTTTGTGACCTTGTAGGATGGTATTGAGCCCATGTGGGAAGATGAGAAGAACAAGCGTGGAGGACGATGGCTGATCACATTGAACAAGCAGCAGAGACGAAGTGACCTCGATCGCTTTTGGCTAGAGACAGTAAGGTTTTCAGATTACAAAGCAGTTTTGGAATACTGAAACTTCATTTACATTACAGTTTCTTTTCATTGATTATTTGAAGAGGGAGAAGATGCAATTGCCCACTCTAGAAATTCAGCCAGGCATTAATTTCATCTTGTCAGGTGAATCCTGTATATTTTCACACACCAATTCTGTGGGACCCCTGCCACATCACCAATCACATAAGGTGACTGGCAGTTGATGATCACATTACACAATAAGCTCGTCCCATCATTTCATTAACTTCAAAATTAGAGAACCACATTTTGTATGTTGAAAAATTTTAAGACCTCCCCCCCAGAGATTTACTTTGAATATAACTCAACGTTTTACATCAATGAAGCAGTGCATCTGTAGCTTGATATAATCCAGTTTGTATGTTGTAATAGAGTGGGAACTTTAAGGCTTCATAAGATATAAATTCTAAATATGAGAAAATCACCATTATCCTGTAATGAGAGGTTCTGAATCTCAAGCTTCATTTTGCTTGTGGGAGAGATAATTAGTACATACCATATTAGAATTACACAATTAAAAAGTAATTTCAAATAAATAAAGTCATTTCAGTTTTGCACGGTGACAAAACTTTTGGGAATACATGGTGATTTTGGTTGGGCAGTGCCACTGAACTATATGCCAAAGTGGTTAAAATAGGTGAGTTTTGTGTTACGTGTACTCATGTGGTTATCATTAGGGAGTGTTCGTGAAAAGAGCGACGGTCTGCCACAGCTACTTTAGTTATTCCGTCAGCAGTCTTCTGCTCACAATTGGTAGTAGAGCAAATGAGTGTCTAATAAAATCACTCACCTTATGTATGTGTCCTGACTTCAGTCTCCCCGTTTGCTGAAAAATTAAAAATTTTTATATTCTTCATGTTAAAGAAACAAGTGAATTTTTACAAAGTCGTGACAAAGAACTATACATAAGTAAAATTTAGACATTTATAAAATCAAATGTTGACTTCAAGACTTAGTTTTACATATTGCCAATATATGACAGATGTTTGCAGTTTAGTAAGCTGTTTACAGCTCCCTGAATATAACGGGGATTGTTCTGGTATTGTTTTCCAGCTGCTGTGCCTTATTGGAGAATCTTTTGATGACTACAGTGATGATGTGTGTGGAGCAGTTGTTAACGTTAGAACTAAAGGGGATAAGATAGCGATATGGACTACTGAATGTGAGAACCGGGAAGCTGTCACACACATAGGGTGAGTCTTGCTATTTACTTGATGAGATATTGGGTAAGTAGCAGCAGCACTTTTCACTTGGAGCTTTATATAGAGTTGGATTTGTTGGTCGTTATTTTCAGTTATAATGAACTCTTTCATAATGTTGGACTGCTGCTGTTTGGTGTTCAGTGTCTTGTTACTGTTTTCATTTTTGTGAAAACACTTTTTCCTAGCAATGCATTATGTAATGACTCACGAACTTTATATTTTAGCATATAGCATTTTATTCATTTATCAAACGAGAGGGTCATTTTTCTACTTACAAACTGTAGTGCTATTGTATAATGCTCCAAATAATTCAGTGAAAATTGCCCGATGGTCTTCTGCATACGTGTGTATGCACTGCACAGAATTCTTACTGACAGTAAAGCGACGCTGTCTTGGTTTTGTCTATATTTAAAGCCCATGTGTAGCTTTTTTTAACTGCTTGGTAAATACTTTTCTTTGCAAAAATTGCCTGTCATTTACGCCAACTAACCTTTAGTCATTATCAGTAAAGATTTTCTTTCTACTACATGTAAATTAGTAAGATCTACTTTAAAATTTGTTTAAAAGTAAGTATGGGGCAAAGATAACAGTATGGTTGGTTGTCCCTTTGTGAATTTTCATAGCTGAATTCTCTGAACAAAAATTCCTTTTTTGAATTAAAAGGGATGGAAAGTTTCTAGGTTTCATTCTACATAGGGAGTGTCTATAAGAGAGAGGAATTGTTTGCTGATTTGTCATCATTCCTGATCTTTTTGTCAGTGCTGAAACTTGTTAATTCTGGGGGTTTCATATTTATTTGAAAATGAGTGAAATAGGAACTTTCTTCCCTAAAAATGTTGTACTTGTGTCAACATTAAAAGTAGTGAAATCTTTATAGAACATCTAATGTCAGTTACCAAAGGAAAGATTTTTTCAAACACTTCCAAGTTGCATAGCTCAGAACTGGAGCTCTCTGGCAGCTTTAATGATAAAGTATGGTTGAGGAAATACATTGTATTACAGGTTAAGTTTGATATGAGGTGTAATTTTAGTTACAAAATTACTTTTAGATACCTTATTCAGGAGAAGATAATGAAATGTCTGGAGGGTAGAATATAAATAAAATCATCCTGTTATCATCATACTGGGGAATTTATCTCCATGAATATGTGTAGCCCTTTATTTCACTTTGTGGTTTAGTTCTGAAATTTTGCTGTTTTCTCAGAATAAAGATCTGGAGTCCTGGGCTGACCTGTGGTGCTGTCTCTGACCTGAGCAGTCTTACCTTGTAGCTTTCTCGCTCCACTGGCTCCCGTGAGCCACATCACACAGCCTGTGTCTGCTCCTCAGCCTCCAGCCATGTTTCACACACTTAGCGGCCCTCTCCTAGATGCGATTAGCCCTTCCTGTTAGTCTCAGCCCTTGTATTTCTCTTCTTTGTGCACATCACATTTTGTTCTTAAAACAGACTCATCTATTGAGAGTTATGTAGTGGAGGTGGTATGTAAGGAACTTAGTCGGAAAATGTAAATTGCCTTCAAAATATTTAATTTGTGTGTGTATAGTCTTATGATAGATAGTATGACAGATGCAACTGCAGTAATGTAAAGTATTTATAAGGGCTTATAATAAGATAGAATTGTAGCAATTTAGCCAAAGAATTAAAATACGATCATGTGCATGTGATTGGGTCATTGGCTTTGTGTAAATTATCTGCCTGTACTACAGCTCCACCACAGCTCCACTGCTTGTGATGATTTGATTGTAAATGATGAAATGTTAGAAATTCGAGCTCAGGGACTGTCCTGCTTTGGTTACCATTGATTTATCGGTAATTGTCGCAGTACTTGATATACAAACAGACTGATGATGAAAATACATGTTTGCTGAAAGGGTAAAGATGTCTGGTTCTGGTTTCATTCTCATGTCTGCTATTTTTTTAATACAAAGAATAATAATGAATTTTTGTGTTTTTAATAAAAACTGATAGCTTTTCTTTTCTTTTTTTTTTTTTTCCTTTTAGGAGGGTATACAAGGAAAGGTTAGGACTTCCTCCAAAGATAGTGATTGGTTATCAGTCCCATGCAGACACAGCTACTAAGAGCGGCTCGACCACTAAAAATAGGTTTGTTGTTTAAGAAGAGACCTTCTGAATATTCTCATAGGAGACTGCGTCAAGCAATCGAGATTTGGGAGCTGAACCAAAGCCTCTTCAAAAGCAGAGTGGACTGCACTTAAATTTGATTTCCATCTAAATGTTGCTAAGATATAAGAGAAGTCTCATTCGCCTTTGTCTTGTACTTCTGTGTTCATATTTTTTTTTTTAATTTTGGCTAGAATGTCCACTATCCCAATCAAAGAATTACAGTACATATGGTCCCCAGAATCCATAAATGTGTTCCAGGCCCACTCTGTCATATAGCATAGTAGAATTACCATTGCAAACACCGTTTACCTATCCACAATATTGAAAAAGAACTTGCATTTCTACACCTTACAGGAAGATAATTCTGTTTATGTTCCATTGTATGCAGGAGCATATTTTACTGGTTTGAAAGCGTATAATGCATAGTTTTCTAGCAATTTTCTTTGTTTCTTTTTACAGCATCGTCTGTGCTGTAGTCTTGCTGATGGCTGCTAGATTTTAATTTATTTGTTTCCCTACTTGATAACATTAGTGATTCTGATTTCAGATTTTTCATTTGTTTTGCTTTTTGTTTTTTTTCCCTCAATGTAACTGGTGAAGGATCCAGGAATATGAAACAAAGGTGGAATAAACATTAATTTTGTGCATTCTTTGGTAATTTTTTTGTTTTTTTGTAACTACCAAGCTTTGCTACAAATTTATGCATTTCATTCAAATCAGTGATCTATGTTTGTGTGATTTCCTAAACATAATTGTGGATTATTAAAAAATGTAACATCATAATTACATTCCTAATTAGAATTAGTATGTCGTTTTTGTATCTTTATGCTGTATTTTAACACTTTGTATTACTTAGGTTATTTTGCTTTGGTTAAAAAATGGCTCAAGTAGAAAAGCAGTCCCATTCATATAAGACAGTGTACAAAACTGTAAATAAAATGTGTACAGTGACTTGTCTTTTAGACAACTAGATTTGTCCTTTTATTTCTCCATCTCTGTAGCAGGAGCCTGCACTTTAATGCAAGGCAGTGTCGATTGTGTCTCTTCTGTGGTGCCTTCCCCATGAGCAGCAGTCTGGAGCATTAGTTTGATTACTGTGTTTATGACAACCTTTAATAAATGAAATAGGTAGTATCGTGTATATGGAATTGATGTGGCTATCCTTGTTTTTTATAAAGTCAGGCTCAATCTTTCAGTAATAGGTAAATAATGTAACCCTACTATGTTAAGACTCGTAAGAATTGAGATCTTGATTGGTAGGGATGGTCGTAACATTTGGTTGCTGAATTGAGTTGTTGTGTCAAAATGGTTGCTTAGGGGATGTGTACAGGTGGTGGGACCATGTGCTTTGAGAATTTTGTTAGTCTTGGTGTCTAAATAGAATTGGAATAAATAGGTATGAAGACATTTATATTGGTAACTGGTGTGGTATGCTTATGTAAACCTGAAAACTTGACTTTCTTTTTGTAGGCATCTTTTCAAATGAAAATTGAGAACAGTTTGTCTGTAATACTTAATTGTATATTCCAGGTCCTGTGACGTGAAATGTGGCTGTCAGACAGAAGGGTAAGCTCTGGACAGGAACTAGCAGAATGAAGATCTTTAGTTGAGAAGAAAATTTGTCTTGAAATGGTGATAATGAATTAACCATTTGAAAACTTAGAAACTTGACAAAAACCCATAAGAAAATGATGGTATTGATTTCATTGATGAATTTTGAAACAGTTGAAAGCACTCTGTACCACACTTTTTGTTCAGGATTCTAGAAATACTGGATCTTTTGTGTGTGTAATCTCACCATGCTGTAGCTAATACCTCCTGTTAAAGCTTAGATTATTGGCTAAAGTATCTTATTGTCTGTGTTGTTGTGTGTAGTTGCTAACACTTCAAGAACTTGCTTAAGATGATGATGGTGCTGGTGTGTTGGAAATGGGAAGGGATCGAGGTAGTGTATTTATTAGAAGTCGGTGCATTATTTCCTTAATTCTGAGATGCAGTCCATTTTAAGAAGCGTAAGTTTTCAGGATTGGGGTAGGAATGATGCGTTAAATGCACACAGACCTAAATTTTAAAAGGCTCTTCATTTACAGCATTTGATTATCATTGCCATTTTAGAATCACAATCCATTTTATTTTTAGTCTTTTTCCTGGTGGGTGGGATGGAATGATAAATTACTCTGAGTCATTTTTGGCAAATGCCCTTCAAGTATCACAGTGACTTGCAAGTTTCATAGCTTCATTATCATGTTTTCTAAATATAAGATTAGACTGTACATGATTTTCTAAGTTACTTTTTCCTCTCTGTCCAACAGGATATTATAAATATATTTTCATAATAGAGAATGAAGAGAATCTTTAGTGAATGAATAGTAGTTCATTGTAGGATGGGACACATTTCATTTAACCAATTTTATTGCTAGCGGTCCTACTTCTGCAGAAGGGTTTGAAGCATACTAGGTAAGAATTAATCACCACGGTGTGGAGAGTCTTTAGTATGTGCCAGGCGGTGCTCCAAGCACTTGACATGCACTTTAGGCCTAAGCAGTAATCCTTGATGTGGGCCTTACTGTCTCCCTTGTTACAGATGCAGAAACTGAGCGCGGAGGACTGGTCACCTCACAGCTTGTGAATTGCGGGATCTGGACTTGAGTCCTAGAAAAGAGGGTTCCAGACACTCTTTAAAAAAATCACATTAGTCTCCAGATAGTGTGGAAGGCACCTGAGGTGATAGTGAGTCAGGGTGTAGTCAGTGTACGTGCCAGGGGTAGAGACGTTTCTCCGTTTCACTTCCTGTGCCGAAGTCAGTGAAGAGTCCCCCTTGACTCACTCTGTTAGCAGTCAGATGAGCTCGTTGGGGGGTGGTCTGAGAGCAGACACAACGGGTTACAGGAGTTTATAAGCATGTGGGGTGAGTAAATATTTTCATACACCGTTCTGAGTGTCTGTTGTCCTGTTATCTCTAAGTGACAATAAAGCTACACTTTGACGTTGATGGGAGCTGACATTCTTAAATGCTGAAACTTGCATTTAAAAGGATTTTAATTTACTAAGGCAATGTGATATGAGATGTTTTATGTTTTAAAATTAAAACAAGTCAATGACAAGTGTCTGCTACTTTTTATGTCTAGTTGTTAAGGATTGTCTCCATGCCTGAGCAGGGCAAACGACTGAATTTTCTGACTCAAGTCAGACACATCAGACAAATGTCAGGTTTTAGGTCAGATGGACACTAGAAAACAGGTCAAGGTCAGCACTACCCAGTATCTGCACCAGGATGAAAATCAGGGGTCTAGAAACTGGTATAGTAATGTGATACTGCTGTGACATTAAAGTACTATCTCTCCTCTAGTGTTTCATTTTCTTTGACACATTTTACAAAAGGTATGTTTTTGACGGGCAGTTTGGGAGGTAAGAGTGTCCTTTGCATACAGTTTGAAAAACACTTCTCAGGTTTTCTTCCACAGCAGCGTCGGCTCATTGGCCCATGAGTCCCTCAGACAAGGTTGGTATCTCGCCACTGTCTCTTTGCAGCTGGTGGCCTGGCCTCACGTTGGATGTGTCTGTAGCACCTCTCAGGAGTACTCTGCATCTGCTTGGATGTTATTCCAAAGTAGACATTATCAGGCAGCCTTCCCGGTACCCTGAGGAGTCCTAGGCTGCATGGATTCCTTCTACTGCCTGGCTTGTGGGTGTCTGCTCTCCCATGACGCTGTGTCTTCCAGTTCACAAGGGCCGGTTTTCACATTTTTATCTTGCCTCCTTTTCCTTTACCTCGGCCCTTGTTCCTTAGAGTTTTACCAAAGGAGTGCTGCCCCTACTTTTTCTCCAAAAGGTGTGTGTCGAGTCTCCTTTCCCTGCTCTGGGGGCTTCTTCAGCAGAAGGAAACGGGCTGTCTGTGATGACCTTGCATCAGCAGACGATGCTGAGATGAAAATAAAGCGGGAGGTGCTGAAATAGATGGTGTTAGCTGAAGCGGAACTCCTAGGGTTTGTGTTCCTGGGGAGGAGTATCTGGAGGGAAATCCAGAAAGAGGTGGTTTGCTCTGAAGACGTCGATATTGAGTTAAGCAGGTCACACTATGGGACGCAACCAGACCCGCATGGGCCAGTTACTGCTGTTCAAGACTTGGGGTGCCCTTTGGATTTGTGTAGTTGTCGAAGGGAAGAGCTGCGGCCCTTTCTCGGTTATGCGGTGACGCTGTTTGGAAATGTCAGCGTTTTCTTCTAACAGGCTTTTGAGGATTTTTGAAGCATGTTGAAGTGTGTCTGTTGGCGTGGTGTATGCATAGCGGCCCTCTTTTGGCTGCTGATTTTTTTTTCCCTTTAATGTTTGACCAAATTTGTCACATGCGTATTTAATTTCATCTCTAGGAGGATGAGAATTCTGTGTCCTGCAGTCACATTGCTTTTTCAGGATTCCACTCAGTCACGTCTGTAAGTGTTTGTGCTTACACCAGGTGTGCGTGCGCACGTGTGACTTTCTGCACAGTCGTTTGTCTAGTGTCTTCTCATTCAATTGTGGTGGTGTCTGCGTGGGGCGCGGTGGGAGGTTCCTGCGCCGTCACCGGTGGTGAGTGACCCTGGCCGGCCGCCAGTCTCCCAGCCTCCAGTTCCCCGTGTAGCTGCCGTGTCGTGCCCCTGCGCTGTGGCGTTTGCTGGCCTGCGAAGTCTCGCTTGTCTTGAACAACAGCAGGTGGCGTTTATTTCCTGCCCTTCCCAGCCCAGACGGTCAGCCCTCGCGTGTGAGCTGCGGTGTCGCCACCGTGTGCAGCTGCTCGCGCCCTGAGTTCCCCCCATGTTTCCCTGATTGTCCTTTAATCGCTTCATTTTCCAGTGAGCCAGCGTTGTTGCAGGTGAAAGCTGGAGCCTGTACTTTCCAAAGTTCAAAAATCTGTTTTTGCCTTGTGAGCCCTGAGCGCCCGGGCTGAGGAGCCGCAGTACCAGCCCTGCCTTCCCCGCAAGCCCCGCTTCACGGCGTTTCCTTTGGCGCTGGTCGTGTCTGCTTTCTGCCTTCAGCCTTGGAACGGTTTGGGCTGATGCCTGGTGTTTGTCTCGGCGCGAGACACCCCGGGACGGGTCAGGGGCGAGACCTCCCTGCCTGGAGCCCGTTTCCGTGCTCAGGAGTCAGAGGCATGGCGGCGTCCTGTGCTGCTGCGCGCGCCGGGGGTTTGCGCCGGAGCCGGGGGTGGGTGCTTCGGGGCCCCACAGGTTCCCCCTGCGCACACTTTCCTTGCAGGGTTCCCCGTTGATTCCAAGTCTTTCAGAACCGCTGCCGTGATGTTGGGCCGCTGCCCCGGGGCCTCATCCTGCTGTCCCAGGCGGTGCAGTGTGGCCTCTGGGGCGGGCCCACGGCCGGCCCGCAGCCCCCGCTCCAGGAGGCCCGCGGTGCGGGCGCCACGCGTGTCCGCGGCCCCAGCGTTGCCCGTCAGTGCACGCCCGTCAAGTGGTGCAAATGGAAGTGGGTGGGGAATCGGCCACATCTTGAGCTCTAGCCCGGTGTTGGCAATGGCGGGAGGCAGTGTGATGCCTCTTCACGGATCCTTTTTCCTGGAGTCTCAACATCTGGGTCCTCCCTGGTGGCACAGGGGTCAAGTCTCAAGCTATCAGCAGCCTCTGCAGCACAAGTTCGATCCCCGGCTGTCCAGGG